GTTACCATCCATTTCACAGGTCCTCCCATATCACCTGTGAAGCAGGTGTGGGAGGCACCATCGCATCTGCCCAGCCCCACACTCCTTGCCAGCATCTGAGCTTCCTGTGTTGGCTTCTTGCCTTCCACTTGAGACATAGAGGTAGGATTGATGAGTTAGGGTCAGGGGCTGTGTCTTGCAAACCTGAGTCACAATGTTGAAAACAATAAATTCCTTATATTGCACTTAAATGGGGATGGCTCTTAAAAGCCGTATTTGTTTAAAGACACTGTCAGCCGAGGAGGCAGAGTGGCTCGTTGGTGAAGCAGCAGGTTGAGAAAAGCGTGGGGACCTGTTTTGATCCGAGCTGTGCCACTGAAATGTTTCTCGTGATCTTGGGTAAGTCACTTAACCTTACTTCCAGCATTCTTAAATCAAAACGTCCCCCCCAGGTTATTCTGAAGAGCCTTGAGAAAATTGTTTTTAGCTGAGAAGCTCTGGCACCTGGAAGCACAATGGAACCATGCCCCCACCTCTCCCAGCCCTGTATTACCCTTGTATTACCATTTCATACAACAGGAAAGGGTAAAGGCTGTTTTTAGCTACATGTTTCTTCCTTCTTTATCTTCAGGTCTTTTAGTCCAAATAAGTAGTCTGTTTATTGGAAACTTACTAGTTAATGAAAGCTCTTTTGTGGTAAATCATTTTAAATTGACAATTGCTCTGGCGTGCCGCGCTTGAGAGAGGCTCTATTCCCATTCTTCCAACAAAAAAATCAGCTGTGGTTGCTGACCTATTTATTTGGAGGTAAACTCAGCCTTGCCAAGCGTACAAAAAAGATGGAGAAAGCATCCAGTTCCACTGGCCCGTGCCATGGGCTGGGACAGCCTTCCTCATTTGGGAAAGGCTTCGTTCTTCTTCAGTTATTCTTTAGTGTTCGTACATCAGCTAACATATTAGTTGCAGTTGTACTTTGCACAGACACTAATTAGAGAGCCATCAACATTGGAGTCCAAAGGCTTACTGACAATGCAACTGCCATAGTGGCGTCTTAATTGGTTGAGTATAATTGTCATTAGGCAGCGATAAAGACATCTGGAGCTCTGGAGAAAAATCAGCCCTTTTTCCTACCTCTCTTCGATATCTTTTCTTGCTTCTCCTGGCCAATGTTGTTAAGCACTTTTAGATCGCTTTTAGGATTTGGTCCAGGTCCCTCTGCCCCAACCAATGTTTTGCCCTCGTGAATAGGTCCGTTTCTTTAGCACAAGTTCATTAGCACTGAGTGATCGCCACTGCTGTGGTTGCTTTCACTTGTGTGAGATTTTAGAGCCCACAGCTGAGTCATCACACAGTACCTGCTTAAATAGGTTATTTATTCTCTGTTCCCATCACAAAAGAGACATCGAGTCTCTTATACTTTGCCTCCCGAGTCATTTTGCAGCAAAACATTTGTGCTGTGATCATGCTCTTTGGCCATGAAGAATGGAGATAATTTAGATGGACATCTATGGAAAATTTCGTGTTTACTGAAATAGCTTAGCTTATCCTGTGTTTTATAGAGCTATACAGAGAGATGTATTTTAATCAGTTCGAAACTACATGCAGGAAGTCTAATGCATACCGATGTGTGTGTTTTGGGTGTCTCTGATCATTAGCACTGGAAGGTGGGCAGTGGAAATAAAAGGAGGTGCCACTCAAACCAGTCGGGTTGTTACTTGTGGATACGCCCTTTCAGTCACCATTTATTTATTTTTAGCTGTGTGTAGGCACTGTGATGGAGGCTATGGCACTGAGATGCGGTCTTTTCCGCACTTTACAGTCTGGTTGAGGAGACATGGACTGTGACAATGAATACCATTGCTTCAGATACAGGGCACAGTGGAGTCAGAGAAGGCTTCCTGGAGGAGGAGGCCCTTTGCTAGACCTTGAGGATTTGGTAGGCTTGGGCTACGTTGGAGGTTCTCAACCTTGATTGCAGATTGGAAACACCGATGCCTGGTTCCACTCCCAGAGAATCAGATGTAATTGATCTGGGGTGTGCTTGGGTAGCTTTAAAAGCATCCCACGTGATTCTACTATGTGCAGTCAAGGCTGAGACCCACTGGGCTGGGTCGTGAGGAGGAAAAGTCCTCCAAAAAGGTGGGAGACATGAACCGAGGCTCAGAGGCAAGAGTGTTTGGAAGCCAGTGAATAGCAGGCTTATCTGGAGGCTGGCTATGGAAAAGTAGGAAATGAGGAGTGGAAGCTGCTCTGTGGAGGGTGCTGGGTGAGTAATTAGAGCTTCACTCAATAAGGTGTTAAGGCCTCAGTATATACAGAGGGCTTCCTAGGGGTCAAGGCTATTCTAGTGGGACTGTTTCAGTCGTTGGATCCATAGCTGCGAGCAGGACCCAGTCCCTGACCTCAGAAGCTCGTCGTTTCGTGGGGGAGATGAGCAGTCAGATAATCACATCACAGTCGCCAGGAGAGTAAGTCCAGGCTGCTGTCACAGTGTGGATCACTGGGCATGTGGTCTTGTGTGGAGTGCGAGGCAGACAGGGAGGGTGATTCGTGGAGTCAAGTATTTCTGAGGGCTTGGCCTGTGCAGGAAGTTGGGAGAGGCTCAGACGGAGGGAGGCTGTCATGGCGCATCTGTGAGGTGTTGAGGGATTTGGACTAGGGTGGCATTCCTGGGAATGAGAAGAACAGAAAGGGTGTGGCGACTTGAACATACAGAACAGTGTGGGTGGTGGGAAAAAAAAAACAACACTCACAAAAATAAGGAATTTGGCAGTTGGCTGGTGTGGTGGTGAGCTGAAACTTTTGGAGGGGAGCATGATTGACTTTTAGACGTGTGGCCTTGCCGCGTGAGGGGGACAGCTTTCATGGAAGAAAGGGCCCGCCAGGAGCCTCTTTGATTTAACAGCGCTCCTCTCTGCCCCCTCTGCCTGCCTCCCTCCTTCCCTCAAGTAATGCGAGAGATAGCAAGTTGCATTTCACCGTTCACTATTGTGCGCTTCAGCAGTTTTTCAAGTTTTGGTTTGGTTGGTGTTGCTTTACCTCGGAGCTCATTGTGTAAAGAGGGCTTGGGGTGGGGCTGGAGCTCAGGCCGCTAAAATGCTCTCCTTTGTACCCCGCTGCTCCCCATTGCGGCCCCTAGGGGGGTGCCACAAAGGACCGCGTGAGGACTGCTGGTGTGGTCTGATGTACAGGCCATGAAAAACAGGGTGACCAAAACTGATGGAAAGGAAATCCGTTTTCCTGGTTTGTGCACGTCTTTTCCCCCCAAGTTCCTCAGTTCTCTGAGCTACTAAATTCCCTTGTCTTTCTTTCTCTTACCGTCTCTGTATTTCTGAAAGACGCTGCCATGCTGCTCACCTTCCTTTTCTGAATTGGCTAGTTTCTTTCACATGGAATTTTATCCTTAAGAATCTAATTACACACAATTTAGAAATTCGAACATGTTCTCTCTGTTCTGTGTCTCTAGCTAGGCAAGTGGCCTCACACCAGGGACACCTGAGTCATTTTCAGGGTGAACCCAGTAGTTTTGGGGGAGTGGGGTGTGTGTTCTTGTATAGGGTTCCTCGTTAAGAAGGGTGATCTGGAACGCTGCCTGGACGGCCTGGGAGCCAGCAGCCGTGCTCTGGCTGTGGTGCTATCAATATCCGCCCTTGCTTGTGCATCGCCAGGCTTAATGACACTCGTGGAGTGCGTTTCTGTTTACTGGAGGATCAGCGGTCAGAGGCCCATTGGTCCAGTTCTAAAAAGCACGTGTTTCCTCTTTGGCTCTTTACACACACACACTCCGCGGGCACTGTCTGCGGGAAGAGAACTGAATCCTCCAGCCTAGAGAATTTGTGTGACCTCATGACCTTTGAATTACACACTGTATGTATTTACTGTCAATTAGTAATTTGAGAGAAATTTACATTTAGTAAATGATGCACACCTGAATCAGAGTATGCCTGGTTTCTTTATTAAGAAATCTCACATGAGAAATTGATTTGTAACTGCTGCATAGGTAAACCATGTCATAAATTCCAGCAATTTAATCTCAGAGGTTACCTTGTTTGACTCTGCATTCTCAACATGGGATTAAAGAAACCTCTTCCCGAGGCTTGGGCCTCAGGCAGACTGTAAACTCCCTTAAATTATCTACCTTTGTGTCGGTGTGGGTACACCTGGAGACCCTTAAAACATTCCTAACCTCCCCACAGTTGCTAGACATGTTGAATCGAACCCTCTGCAGCAGATACAAGGAGCTTAGCAGCAGTGCCTCAATGGCAGGCCGTGCACCGTCTCGTCACCTGGCCGGTCCATTATCCTAAGGGCTTCGCGTCCGAGCTGGTTCGGGCCCGGCCTCGGCTTTGATGGAGAGAGCCATTTGGTGGAGTGACAGTAGTAATAGGAGGGAGTGAGGGCTCCTGTTTTCTAAGTGGGCAGAACCGGGAGTGTCATGCATTTCGGCAAGAGCTTTTCATGAGAAGGCAGCATTGTCTGGCTGCTAAAGGCAAGATTTAATTGTTTCAGCAAATCAGTTAGTCTTTAGGGACTTTAATCAGTCAAATCTGATGCATGGATGAGGTATTAGAAAGCTTGTGCCTGTAAGACCATTAGTCCTTAGTATTTCTCTCCCTCTCTCTTGTTCTCTCTCTCTCTGCCTCTGTGTGTGTGTGTGTGTGTGTGTGTTTGTGTAAGTACCGTGGCTTTTACAAATTTCTGCTAATGATCTCTTTATTAGGAAAACTTAAGGTAGCAGATTAGTCATAAAAGGAAAAAAGATCTCGATACCCAAGTTTTTATTCGTATAGTGTTCTCTTGAAATTGTCACCATTGTGCTGTGAGAGCCTGAAACGTGTTCCCCGTCTTTCTGTTCTCCAGTGGACATTGTCTCCTGTTGGACTTGCTCGTCTGCACAGTGCAGAGGGGTTCCACGCCGACCCCGTCTCGCTCCTCTGCCATTCTGAGCCTCTCCCCCTTTCCTCCACTGGGGCCCTGCCCTTCGACGTGCCCTTGGAACCAAGTGTGTCCTTCTTTTCCAGATACACATCGGGGGACGTGAGGGTGTGGGACACCCGCACCTGGGACTACGTCGCCCCCTTCCTGGACTCCGAGTACGACGGGGACGAGGACGAGCCTGGCATGCAGCCATATGCCTCCTTCGTGCGGATAAACAGCTCGCTGGCGGTCGCGGCTTATGAGGATGGTAAGTCGCCACAGCCCTCCTCCCTATTAAGGACAAAAAAGCTCTACAAAAATTAAGCAGCTGTGGCCGGCTCCCCCCTGTAATCCGTCCATACGTACATGTGGGCACACACACATGTTCACACGCATGCACTCACTCTTGCCTTTATGTGAAGAAGTTGGCCAGTAACCCTCAATGCATTAGCAGGCCCTGGAGCACAGCACCCATTAAAACTGGTGTTTAATTCCTCCTGGAACCGTTGGGCTGGGTTTAGTGCCAGACACGAGGCTGGCCAAGCCATCTTAAGCAAATAACTTGTTCGGTGTAAAATATTAAATATACTGGGCCTGCTTTTCCTTCAGCCTCTGTGCACTCCAAAGGGAACAGCGAAAAGGGGGTCGACACAGGTAATCTATTGACAGATATGCAAGTAGAAAAATAAAAGTCCGTGCCTACCTTTTCCTGGCACTTACGTACCATACAAGGTAACTTGTGGGAATACGCTTTGTCTCTGGGATCAGCAGAATTCTTTTTGTGCGGGAACAACTGTGCAGTCACAGAACTAGGTAAGAGTGGCCTGAAATAGAAACACTTGACAGTTTGTAACGAATCGTTTAGATGGCCGTGGATATCCCATCCTCCCGCCTCTTGTGCTCTGGACTTCCATCACGGTGGAAGTTTGAACTTCCAAAAACTTTGTTCCCCACCTTGCCTGAAAGTTGGACCACAAAACATTTCAGGATGCTGGTGTTGATGTGTGGCCCGGTTGCAGAGTCTTCATATCGGTGTGACATTATTGTTGGCTCAGTGCACAGAATTTCAGTGAAGTAGGTGACGGGGGATCTTATGTTCATGTGCCATTTAAAAAATAAACACTAGGGCGGAAATCTTGAAAATAACTTCATTTTATTATTGTAACAACATGAACTCTGTTCTTTTGGTTTGACAGTAGATACCATTGATGGATTTTTCTTTCCGCCTCTAGAAATTCAGCTGTTTTTGTTTGTTTGTTTGTTTGTTTGTTTTGGTATTTTGATATTTTATATCTGTTTGTTTAGATCCTGGATAGATAACATACAAGCAGCTTGAATGTGTTTGCTGCTTTCCAAATAACCAGTGAGGTTTTTTTGAAACAACTATGCACAGGTTGCAGTACTTCTCAGTTAGAACGGTACAGTTTTACAATTATCTAGTAGCCTCCCCGCCAAACACGTGTGTGCACACTCATCCATTTTTCTTCAAATGGGGAAACTGAGGTCCAAAGTCACCAGCTAAGGGACTTGCTTGAGGCTGAGTCACTAGTCCGTAGTGAGCCCAGAGCTAAGATTGTGTCTCCTGGGTGGAGTGCTGGTTATGTAACACGAAACACAGAGACACTTCTAGAAACGTGCAAATAAATCAAGTGCACTTGATTTATTTGCACCCCAGGTCTCATATCTTTTGAGCTTGAAAATACAGCTTGAAGTGATGTGTGAATGTGCTGCTGGGTTTATGCTGTTGGTCAGAATTGTCGTTGTCACCCTCATCCCTATCGTGGCACAGAAACATTGGGGAACCATGTAGACATGATAGAGAAACTACATTCTTTGGCAAATACTTGGTAAATAATTGCCAAAATATATTTTAAATACTTGGTTTTAAAACATTTGCCATAGATAAAATACAAACAGAGCAAACATGTATGAAATGTAAAAGAAACGTATCCAAAAAGAAATTGAGGCATTCCTCCCAGTCACCTTACCTGTAGCTCACACACACACACGTTTTACATGTAGGTCCTACTCTGGATACTTTTCTGCACCTTGCTTTTTTCACCAAATGACACATCTTGGTGTCTCTGTATTAGCACAGGTCAACCTGATCCTTTTTCAGCCTGTGTAATATTGCATTATGTGGCTGCACTATCATTTATCTGTTAGAGCCCTTAGTGATTAGGGCCCTCTGTATTGTTATTAAAAATTATTTTGTTATTAAAAACAGTGCTTCAAGCAGCACCCTTGAACAGATATCATGATGGACTTGTGCAGATATAGCCATGTGGTAAGTTACTGGGTCGCAGGCTACAGACACTTGACGTTTTCATAAAGATTGCCGAATTGCCCTCCAAGAGGGTTCTAGCAGTTTACAGCCTCACCAGAAGCATATGAGAGTGGCTGCTTCCTCATGCCTGTGTGATAGGTGGGAATGGCATGTGACTGTTGTTTGGGTGTGCCTTTTTCTGTAAGTATATGTACACATCTTTTCATTGTGTTACTGGCTGTTTGTATTTCTTGCTCCGTAAATTGTGGGTTCCCATCTTTCCCCGTTTTTCTTTGGGTTGTTGTGTTTTCTGGTTGACTAGAAAGACCTAAGGAAATAACCCTTCTCATATCTATTTTAAATAGTTTTTCAATTTGTCATTTATTCTTCAATGGACTTTTGTTTATGGTTTATTCTTCTAGGTGGCAGTAGTGTATGTGTGTGATTTTAATTTTTAATCCATAAATCAGTGGGTTTTATTTGTAATTTAATATTTTTGACTAATACATTTTTAGGGACATAAGACCAAACTAAAACAGTTAGGTGATGAGAAATCTTGCTTCTGCCTATTTTTGCCAGTCCATTCTAAAGCAGTCATATGTTTTAGTTTCTTGTCAATCCTTCCATTATTTCTGCATTGCAAATATAAGCAAATATGAATACCTATTCTTATCCCCCTCTTCTTAACAAAAGATGACACATTACCTTATATTATTCCATACCTTGGCTTTTTTCACTTAATGACATATCTTTTTCTGGAATAAATCTGATGTGTAACATTGTGTAAGTCTAAGTGTACAGCATGTTACTTTGATACATTTATATAATATGATTGTTATTGTGATATTTGTTATATTGCATAATTATAATACAATATTATTGTCTATATTCATTATCCTGTGCATTAGAAACCTATGGCTTATTTACTGCTCATTACAAGTTTGAACCTTTAAGCACCATCAATCTTATCCCCTGGTAACTACCATTTTATTCTGCTTTGTTTTTTACAGGCTTGACTGCTTTAGATTCCACATAAAAATGATATCATACAGTACTTGTCTTTCTCTTTCTGACTTAATCTCACTTACCTTAATATGCTCAAGGTCCATCCATATTGTTGCAAATGGCAAGATACCCTCCTTTCTTATGGCTGAACAATATTCCATTGTGTATAGGTACCACACCTTTTCTATCCGTTCATTTGTTGGTAGACATTTGGGTTGTTTCCATATCTTGGCCATTGTGAATAATGCTGCAGTAAACATGGGAGAGCATACGAGTATATCTTGTTAATGACATATCTTGCAAGTTTGTCCATGCCCGTGTATAGAGAATGGACTTCTTTTCATACCTGCATAGTACTCCATTGTACAGGTACTGTGGATTATTTACACAGCCCCTTACTGAGCATTGTAATGGAAAACCTTGTACGTACACTTTTCATGTAAGTGCAGGAGGATAGTTTCCTATAAAAATGCAAATGGGGTTATATGATTTTACACTCTTACCAGCAAGGTATGAAGGTGTGCTCATTTCCTCACAGTTTTATCAGCAAAGTATGCTTCAAAGTTTTAGGTATTTGTCACTTTGACAGATAAGAAATGGTATCCAAATGTATTATAGTTTCAATTTGCATTTCTCTTAATGTGAGAGAGGTTGAATTTTTTTCACATGTAATTCTTTTTCTTCTATTATATTTAAATCTTGACTAATACAGAGTCCATGCTGGTGTTAGATATGACTCCAAGTTTATCTTTTTTTCCAGCATCTCTTTATTAGAAAACCCATCTCTACCTCACTGGTTTGAGGTGCTGCCTTTACAAGTTTTTAGATATGAATTCTTTTAGCCTTTCAGTCTGTTTCGGGGTGTTTTGTTCTGTCCCAGTTGGTCTGTCTAGTTGTTTACATTTATATCAGGTCTGTCAGTCTTGTCCTTCTGGGTTTCCCGTCATGCTCTAGGGGATTATTCCCTACCCTAGGTAAAATCTACAGCACTTCCATGGCTGCATCAGTTACATTGAAATCTTTGATTTGTCCCAAATTCCTTTTGGCATTAGGATTATTTCTTTGATAAGAGCTCTTGTGTTTTCTTGCCTCTCTGTCACCCTGAGCTTGTTCTACCAGTCTGATGAGCATTGTCACTATTTCTGAGACAAATGACAACTGTTCACCTTCCCCTAGACCTCAGGTGCCATTGTCTTCAGTCTCCCTTCAGTTTAACAGGCTGACGCTGTGATATTTATACCAACATATTCATGAGTAGCTACTTGGGGGTAAAGACAGAGTGAAATAATCAAGCGCACACTTTTTTTTTTTTTTACCTTGCTCCTTTCTAGGAGCAGCGAACATGCACTTCTTCAGCACAACATGGCAAAAAGCAAACTTACCTTGTGGGGTCTGCCTTATAAAATGTGTAACTGTGCCCCACAGAAGAGAAGAATAAGATAATAAAATGAGTTAATGAACTTCAGCTCCCTGCTTGTGCCAAAGGGAAGCTCTGTAGCCATTGCGACCCCCTTGATGGTGTGTGCGCGGATTCTCCGCAGGCGTCGGTCCAGAGGGGAGCCAGACACCGCTTTGGGAGAAAGTGAGTCGTTCCTTCCTCCTGTTGGGCCTCCTTGCCCTACGGGAACACCGTCCACCCACCTGGGCTGTGGAGATTTGGCAAGGTGATCCACAGTTGTGAGTTTTTGAATTCCAACCCACTGGCCTCATATTTCTTCTGCCTTGTTTCCGATTGTCAGCACTGGCCGTCCTCCAGTTTGATTTTACCACTAATTGTGTTGCACGTTACCACACCGAAATGAATCAAATCAAAATGCTTTTCCTGGAGCATTAGATAAAGCAGGCGAAGGTTCTGAGTAATGAGCAGATGCTGCTAATGCAGGGGCAGCGGAGACCTTGCCAGGACTCCATCTGCTCCATGCCTGCCTGCCTTTGGCCTTGAGCCACAGCGTCAGGGAACGGCGGTGTACTGGAAACCCACTCCCTGCTCACAGAGT